CTTAACCACTGTGTTAACAGGGCTCCTTAGACAATTGAAACAAAATGGAAAATGGAAGAAAAAAAAAAAGTAGGAAATAAACCAAGCTCAGATATGCAAAAGAAAGTTGGATTGGACCTTCCAAAATAAATACAGAGAATAGTCACGCTTTGCTAAAAAAAACTTATAAAGATATATTTCTGAACTTTTGGCAAAACCAAAAGAAGAGCTGCCCACTGCTGGCTGTTCCTCTCCTTACTCAGCCAGCCCTACTACTCCTCCGTTCTCCACTCAGATGCTGGCGGTGTTCAAAAATCTGTGCTCATTTAATTACAGTCCTTCTACCCTATCTGGGAATATTTTGTAATGTAACTAGCATTTTATTTTTTATTCATTTTTATTTTGTAATACCACTGGCAGTCAGCACAAAGACAACTCTTAGGTAAAGTTAGGCGGACTGTCTTCTGGCATACAAAAAGTATGGCCCATCTTGACCCCAAAAGTTCCTATTGTTCAAAAGTTTATCACCTCATCTAACAACCTTCCTGAAGAATAAATGGTGTGGCAGATATGGTAGCCCAGCAATCAGCATCCATTCTGAAATTCTCAAGCATGCCTTTCAGTACTACAGAGGCCAGAAAGCTAAAAACTACATTTCCCAGACTTCCTAACAGCTAGGGTTCTAGACACAAAATAGGCTCTGCCAATTAGACCCACAAGGTTTTAAATGCAGAAGTGAGATGGGGACCATCTTCCTACTGCTTCTTTTGGCAAGCATGGCTGTGAGAAGTGGGGTTTTCTGCAGCAGCATGTCAGTGTCCAGTCACTAACTCTGTGGATGTGAAGAGCCATGTTGCACAGTCAAGCGGCTGCCTCATCTCTGGACTGCAGCTACAAGAGTATGTTTTTGAAGTCAACTGTTTCAGTAGCAGCTTCTGATTCTGTATCTTCCCAATACAGAAGTAGCAGCTCCTCTCCCTGGTGGGCCAGTTCTGCAATGTTTTTCTGGGAGTCGTTCCCAGAGGTCGAGCTGAGAGCCTCTTCTTCCAGCTCTTCCAACGAATCTGTAAGCACTAATTTCCTGTGCTAAATCCTTTTCTACTTAAAATAGTTTTTGGGTCCTCAAATGAATCCTGACTGATTACTAATTCTTGCATGATCTCGTCTATACAAAGGAGAAAAATATGCCTATGTTAAAGAGAGACTAGAAACCCTCTTGGAGAAATACGTAAG